CCAAGATAACAATGTCAAATACTGTAGAGATTTCAAGAAAGATGAGGATTGAGAAAAGGCTACTAGACTTGGTCGTTAAGAAAACATTATTAACTTTGGAAAGAGCAGTTTCAATTGAATGATGAGGTCAGAATCAAGATTGCAAAGGATTTAGAAGAGAGTCAGGGGACAGGAATTCAAGGCACCAAATATAGAAAGCTTGGTCAAAAAATTCAACTGAGAGTAGGAAGGATAGAGCTATATGGGAAGGTAGGTACATGGGAAGATAGAATTAAGTCTTGAATTTTTAAGGTTGAGGTAGACATGGCCATAATTGTAGGCAGTAAGGAAGGAGGCAGTAGTTAGGGAGAGATTGAATATTAAAGAGAAGGTAGAAATGATAGTTGGGGGCAATCTGTTTAAGAAGTCAGTAGGTGATGAGATCAAAGGTATGTGTATAGAGATTGGTCTTAGAAAAGAGGTCTACCTCTTCATCAGAGACTGGAGTGAATGAGAAAACAGTAGTGGTGAGGTGAAAAGAATGTGAAATGAGGAAGAATGAGAATCTCTTGGCAAATATTTTCAATTTTTTTCAGTGAAATACACAGTGAGGTCTTAAAGGTAAGAAGGTGAGAGGAGAAAGTGCTTTGGGAGACTTGGGGAAAAAGAAAAAGCTTGGAAGAGTATCTTGGTGATTGGGAGGGAGAATCAATTAAGAAGTATTTGCCTTAGGGTTGTCTTACTGTAGTGAGGGCCCCTTTCAGATTATATAAATAGATGTGTAGTGGGCTCAATCTGCATAGTTTTGTGACTTCCTCTAGTTCTGCTCAGCAGCACAGAAGTAAAAGTGGGAGTTATCTAGGGTTGAAGTTTGTGATAGAACAGGTGGCAAGGAATTCAGAAGAAGATAATGTATATTGCAAATGTTCAGCAAGGGGTTGAGATATAGAAAAGTGAAGCCAATGCAGAGGTGATAGCCAAGAAGAGTATTGTAAGGTGGAGTAATTGAGGTTGGAGTGAGGCAAGGAACAGGATTATTGGTCATAAGACATAGGCAAAGATGGAATGGACAAGATAAAGGAATTTCTAAGTTCACAAATATGGAAATAACGCATTTACGCAGTCATGGATATACTCTCCCATAGATTACCATACCACGAGTGAGGACAAACATGCAGAAAACATATGTGCCTAGGGAGCATACACGGGGCAACACATGTAGGGAACATGCACAACCATGAACCATTCATGAAAAACACGTGCATGATTAAGACAACGTTTTTTAAAAAACTTTCACCTATTAGTGCCCTGCTAACTTAAGGAGTCAGACATATGGCATGGCAACCAAAAAAGCAAATGAGATTTTGTGCTGCATTGAGGAAGGCAGAGCTTCTAAGAGTAAGATAGCCATAGTCCTGGTGCATGATCACCTGCTCAGATCTTATCCTCTTTGAGGTTAGCGAAGTAGTGGTTGTCCCATATCTAATAGCTATTCTGAGTGCTTCCATGGCAGTTGGGCACCCTTTTTTACTTACACTTAGAGAAATCTTGACAGAAACTATTCAGAAACCATATATATTTGGAGATTATCCAGTAGTATGCTTTGGGTAGAGCAACAAACTAAAAAGAAAATGACATTTTTTGTTCATCGCCTAAGGTCAGGCCTCAGCCATGTGGGTCCAGAGTCTTGGGGAACTTCAGGTCAAAGGGCACACAATCTTTAGAACTTCCCTTCTCTTCTGGACTGAATTCTCACATACACTGCTATACCATGAGATACATCCTACTCTTCCTCTGAACTCTCTAAAATTTGCTCTTCCAAAACCTTACATTTATGCCAAGCTCTCCTGGTATCTTCACTGATTCACTCCACAAACTCTAAATGAAATGGTCACTTCTTAAATGGTTATATTTTTTGTGTCATGGACCCCCTTGGCAGTCTGGTGAAGCCTATGAAGCCCTTCTTAGAATAAAGTTTTTAAATTCATAGGAGTACAAAGGAAAGCAATAACCTTGAAGTATGGTTATCTGAAAAAAACCCCAAAAAACAAAAAACACAAAAACAAAAATCTTAAGGTTAGACATCCCAGGTAAAGAACTTTTGATCTAGAGCCTGCTAGCTTCTCTTTGTGGACATCCTTCAGTAAAGTCTAAGCGAGCAAAACAGTCATGATAGTCAGATCATGGGAATTCTTTAAACACAGTAACTCCTTTAGAAACACTCATTAGAAAATTGTTTAATTTCCAGATCTAAGACCATTTTCTATCGGTTATTTATTTCTTATTTTATCAGTCTGGGTATTTTATATTTTTGTAATTATTCACTCATTTTTTCTCATGTTCAGGTTTGATGACATATAGCTAATAGATAATAGTTGTTGATCATTGTATTTATTTATCTTGTTGCATACATTTCTAATTTGGGTAATTTGATTTTCCTCTCTCCTTTTGAAAATTAGATTTGCTATTTTAATCAAATATACAGGTCTTTTTGAAAACCCAGTTGATTTTTTATTAATTCAATTGTTACTTTAATTCTTTTAGATTATTGATCTTTTTATTTTCACAATTTACTGTTTTTGTATTAACTTATTCATTTTCTAATTTTGCTAATTGTAAACTCAGCTCATTAATTCCTTATTTTTCTCTCTTTAATATAAACATTCAGAGATATAAATGTGTCTGTGAGTATATTTTGGCTGTTTCTCAAAAATTTTTACATGCTGTTGATATTACATTATTACATTATTACATTATATTGATATAATCTCTTATTTTTCAATAATTTATTCTTCAGGGCAAGCATTACTTGACAAGTCATTTTAGGCCCCAAATAAGAATAAATCTTTTGTTCTTATTTTTTCTTAATACCAGGGATTGGTTGCATTATAAAGCTATATGAAGGACAGGGACTGGGCCTATGATTTATCAAGCATATTACAAATTGATAGACTCTGAATTGGGCCTGGAGATGTATGATCTAATTGGATTAAATGTCTTAATACAATTTGTAAGGAATTAAAATTGAAAACTCACTGTCAATTTGGAAACATCCTTAAGAGCTTTTTAAAAATTCCAATAGTGTTATAAAGACTGAAGTCAACAGATTTTAAAGGGAGATAGTAGCTAATGAGAAAGTGAAAGCACTAAGTCAAAGGCAACTCTTTTAAGAGCTCTGGGAGAAGTAGAAGGGAGGATATAGCAGGATGATATCTGGACAAGGTAGAAGGGTCAAACATTTTTAGGAAACCTGGGTTTGTTTATAACCAGTGGAGAAGCAGAGAAAGTTTGAAGATTCACAGGGAGAGTAATTCTTGTTGGCCATAGTCCTGGGAGGTGTGAGATCAAGGCAAAGATTGATTCTGCTTAACAACTAATAGGAAGATTGCTTCCTCTGAGGTATAAAGGAAAGAGGAAAGAAGAGTGGTGATGCTAAGAAGTTTTGAAGAGAAGGATCTTCTCTTATATGAACTTAATCTTGTCAGTGAAGTAGGTTAGATTTTATGGAAGTAGATACCTCCCAGGCAGATATCCCAAATATATATCTACAGTCACAAAAAATTGTTCTGTTTGGCCCTGGAGGACAGAAGGAAGAGCAATGAGGGAAAGTTACTAAGAGGCAGATTTGGATGATGAGGTAAAAATATCTTAGTCATTCCAGCTGTCCAGAGGCTGCCTCCAAGGCAGTTTCTAATCATTGTAGCTCTTAAAAGAGATTCTAGCCGATCACTTGTCAGGGAGGTTGTATGATTTCTGTTCAAGTACCTAAATGACCTTTCAGGTACCTTTCTAATGTAAGATCCTCTGTCTATTCTTCCCATTCAATTCTCTCCATGTATTTGTCAAATCCACTTTCTCCACTTCTTTCTTCATGTCTGTAATTTATTTCCTATTTATTGTTTTGTTTGAACTAGTTTCTTGTCGGTGGTATGCTGAAATCTCCTACTGATATTAATTTTATGTCTAATTCTTTTTTGAAATTCAAATTTTTATAAAGTTACTTGCTATACTATTATATATGTAAATGTATATAATACTGGTATTTGCTTTTTTGCAAATAACTTTAATGTAATTAATAATGTAATTATATAATTAATGTAATTTAATAATGGAATTAGTATAATATAATTTCTTTGCTTAGTTATATTGCTATATTACTTGAATTATTTTTCAAATTCATCATTGTAACTTTAAATGCTCTAGAGTTAGCTGAAGCAAGATAAACAAAAGACATAAATCAGGTCACTTTTAAGGAAACTTTATTACTTTATTGGAGAGTTGCTTTTTATTTATACCAATCAATTTTGTAATTTTGACAGGTGGTAAAACACAGAAACAATATGCATTGCATTAAAAATCAAATGCTTCAATATTTCAAGGAATTGTGATTTCATCTGTGTAGATGTCCCCTTTACCAAAGCAGAAGTTACTTCCATAAATAATTTAAGAAGTTAATGTAACAGTTCATTCTATTGCTGAATTTTTCCAAAATAACCTGGGTTAGTTATAATACAAGTGATAAAACCCATTACTCAGTCCACAATCAATGCCTTCCCAACTTAATAAAACTATCCAGACCTTGCTTTCCATTGGTATAGGCTTTGAAGGGCCTAAGATTACCTCCATGGTGTTTTCAGACATTGTAATCAAAGATATAAAATAGAGCATGGGAAAGGTATCTGTAGTCTATGCCTATAATCGGAAGAGGACTTTAGTGGAAGAGAAAAAAATCAAATACTAAAACTAAGAAATGACTTTAGATTGAATTTAGATCATAATGATAAAATCTATAAATACTAATTTATAGAGATAACAAATACAGTTATATTTTCTCAAATTTTATCATAAGCTTAATTTAACTTAAAACTATAACAAATGAGGCTGCTTTCTAGGGAAAAAAGAAATGCAATTTTTTTTTGCAGTTTGTCAATAGTATTTTTTAAAAAGTATTGTTAATTAATAAGCCAAACTACCAACATAGAAAAACAATTAGTTGTGGTTAGATTTTCTTCAACTCCTACCTCAAGTTTTGTTAGTCCTAAGAGAGCAATTGCAGCTCGTACACTACTACTGTCGAGAGTTCCCGTGATTTTCCTTCGTTCATACTCAAGGGATGACATCTGCTGATGCGCTGAAAAATCTAGGGCCTTTGCCCTGGCTTCATTAACCAGTGGCACCTTGAGTTCTAATTCCAAGATGTTATTGAGATCACATTTCAAATGTAGAATTGGATCATCCTTGCCTAAATCTAAAATAAACAATGACAAAAAAATAGTCATTACTATTGAAATGTCATTGGCTTCATTAATTGTGAGAGTGAGCCGTAGGGAACATATAATATGTCATTTATTTTGTACTTTATCATTTTGCATTTAAATCATTGCAAAGTTTAAGATTTCTTTATCAAATAAACATTCATGCAAAATATTTACTATACATTGATTCAAGATTACAAAAAATTAACAATAAAGAAAATTTTCCTTGTCATTTAGTTGTCATGTAATATTCAATAATATCAAAATTTAGAGACAGAGTATCTAATGTGCTCATGTTAAGTACAGAGAAAAAGAGAGGGGGATAAAGATATAAAAAGGATATCCACATAAATTATAATTTATTTTAAAATTAATTTTATTATCTTATTAACAGAAATATTCTAAGTCAAAGATTGCAAACAATTATCCATCTATTCTGATAGTCTCAGAATAGATCTTTGAGTCTACCCATTGGGTGACCAAGCTAGAAAAGAGGTTCGCATATATGCCAGACAAGTTCATTTTTTAAAAAATGTTAAACTCTAGTTAATTCTGTGTTATACACTCTGTTTAAGGAATAGGGAATCCTAGTTACTCAAATATTCTGGAGCCTAAGCTTTACTTTTTACCTGAATTTTGGGAAAACTGGGGGGCAGGGAGGTTGGGGGAAATTGATTGAGGCCATAGTAACAAACCTTTAAAAAGTTCTATATAGCTTATCAAGAAGAGCCTCAAATTTATTGAAAAAAATTTTAAATGGTGCCCAAGCTAATTCATGTACTATGCATACAGTACTTGATTTCTATACTATTCTGCAAAACTTCATTTTCAATGAGCTTTTAATTTAGGAACATAGAATCTAGTGAGTTTTTATAAAGGTTCACTCTTGGTAGTATTTTCTTTATACAATTTGATTGCATTATAACTATGGGTTATAATGAGTAGAATTTGCACCCAGAATACAGGGGCCAAGTTAAATCCTGCTTCTCACTAGCTCCATGACCTCAAGAATGTCACTTTGCTTTTCTCATTTTGTTTATTTATCTTTGAAATTACAAATAATAATAATAATAATAATAATGATAATTTGCCTAACACCCAGGATTGTGAAGATCAAATTGAATTTGTTTAAAAAAAACCCTCAACAAGCTACAATTACTATATAAATTCCTATTCTTGTTATGAAAACTATAGTTATTATATGGATTCTGACATATTGTAGGTCAAATTATATACCATGAAACAAATCCTTATAGTAAGGGCTTGATTTAAGGTGATGTTGTTACATGGCAGCAAGATGTGCATTCATCTTGTCCTCAAAAACTAGCCTTATAAAAATATTATACATTTTGGCTCTACCTTCGTCAGGAGGGTGGTTGTAATTCAAAATATTTGGATTATCTATTGGGAGGAATCTGGAAGGCAAAGGAACAGCACTTGTCCCTTCCACAATGTATACAAATTCTCCAATCTGAAACACAGGTATATCTGAATATTAACTTTTTTAAAGTTCCAGTAGAAAAGGTGGTTAAGAAACAAGTCAAAGGAATTACAAAGCCCTAACACAATTACATTTCATACACTCTGACAGTGTGGGGCATTAAGGTTGCACATTTCACAGGGTGCTTATCTCCAATAGGAGCCATTTCTTCAACTCTGAGAAGGCACTCAGACAATCTTTCAGACTGTACTAATTAGACCAAAATTTAACCAGACTATCAACCCTCTGCTACTGACAGATTTTTGTGGGGGTAGGAAAAGAGCCTCTGGGGCCATGCAAATTCAACAATCATGGTAGCCATCATCCAGATGATTCTTGAGCTCACTCAACTGACAGAGTGTGTCTTTAGAAAGGGAACTGAGTATCACTAAACAGGAGGCAAAATGATAGCAGAGAAAGACAGGGAGAGTAATGCCTCTGCTAATGTGTCATCGGCACTACTACACGTGGAGGAGCCACTGATTTCATCCCTTTTCCCTTTTTCTAATTTTCCCTACAAAGCTTACAAGAAGCAACTCCCCAGTTAATTTGTTTGGACCTGGCTCTGCTTCCACAAAAGAAGCTAGGTAATAGGAATATAATCAGGAAATGAAAATAAAGAACTCTTCCAATCTCCAAAAGTCAGTACGAGATGCTGAGCAAGCAGAGGCACCTTTCTGAAACCTTTCTGGGAAATAAGGAGAGAGGAGTCACAGGAGAAATATTCACACTTATGGGGTTCAGGAGTGGGAAGTAGAAATTGCAGAATACAGTGTAGAGAACAGGGGGAGAAAATATTCATTATGGTTCCAGAGTCTTCAAAGAGCTATAACTGTTAGCTAAGACTCCAGTATTATTTCTTCATAGTACCATTGTAAAAATGCATGATCTTGGTAGAGAAAGAGCAAATGCCAGAGACTACACACACACATACACACACACACACACACACACATATACACACACACATACATACATTATGTATATATTTGTGTATATATAAGTATATGAGGATATATGTGTATATATACACACATACATATACATACACACACATATATACACATATACATACATATATACACACATGCATATAGATACATACTTATTTTATATTAAATATATATTTTATGTGTTTATATACGTGCATAGATAGATTGATATTTAGATTGTGAACTCCTTGAGGGCAGAGACTATTGCTTTTTTCTGTGTCTACAGCACATAGCACCGCATCTACAACAAGCTAGGGTTTTAAATCCTTGTTGTCATGATTTGACTATCTAAATCAAAACTAAAGATGAGCAGAAGAAATAAGCCCTCATAAGGCCTTACCTACAGTAGTACTATGAATTATGGGAACTATATTCCACTAGGGCAAAGTAGAGGAGATCTTCTCAACATTTTAGTCTCAAGCATGAGTCATTTCTATGTTCTTCCCTGTATTGATAAAATGCGTGTTTTTTTTTCTTCTTTTTTTGAGGGGGGATGCTTTGTAAGTCTGAGCACTTTTAAGGAGAGCAGATGGGCATTATGGAGACAAGGCCATATATAGGTGTTCCCAGGTACCATTTAGATGAGGAAAATTGAGACAGAAAAAAACATTGAGAACCATAAAGTGCCCCAGACCCCTGTGTCAGGAGAGAGTCTCTTACATAAGGGAGTCTCTTACATAATATAAGTTTGTAATTAGATCTAACACATTTAGATACAAATTTGGATTCAGCATGAATATTTTAAGGCTGGCTGGTTTGTTTCAAACAGTTTATTTCCTATACCACTATCAATAAGTTTTCATTATTTTAGTACTCTTAATTATTTTTGCATCAGATTGAAAATATTAACATATTAAATGTAAAAATGTTATTTTCTGTAAAAATGTTTTATTCAAAGCTATATTATTATACAATTCAACAGGATGTTGCTATATAAAAGGATCAAAATAAGATTCATTTTATACAAATCAGCTCTGCATTTTTCAAATAATAATCAAAAGGATTATTTTATGATAAGTTCAGGGTAATCAAAACATCTAGATATTAGTAAGATATAAAACTAAAAAAAAATAGTTACAAAAATAGAAAAGATTTTAATGAGCCACAGTGACAATATCTTCCTATATAAAAAAGAGTAACTATATTTAATTTGGCAGTAATTGTGTTTTAATTTTCATTTAAGTATCAGTTGAATAATTTCTATAAACAGTAGTATCATTTCCTGGCACACAGAAGTATAAATGCATTTTTCTCTGAAAGTGTGAATTTTCTATTCTCTGCAAATTCATAATGACACAGGAAGCCAATCCATATAGTATATAAATCTGCTTGCCATAATATTTTCCCTCTATGACTAACTTTCCATTTTCTCTGTAAATAACTCTGTGAAAATATTAACAGTTAAAATTCTATTGCACTATCATACACTCTCTCCACAACTTGTGTGGTTTTCCTTAAACACCTAACTTGTTAAATCTCAACATGATCTATTCTTAGTAACATAAATACACTGTGGATGCATCATACTGAAATATAATTATCCCTTCCACATCGAAACTTTCCCCATTGCAGTATCAATATATCACAGGTTGGCATAAGAAATTACATGGGAATTTGGGGGGAGCTTGGTAGAAGCCACAGATGACACACAAAGGCCAGCAGACAACACATAAAAAAATATTTTTATACAGTATTTTTACTTAACATTGATCTATACATAGCTTAAGACCAAATACTTAACTCAAATTATATAATACATTACTGTAAACACTCCATAAAAGAAAAAAAAAATTCAGACTTCTTCTCTGGTATGAAGGGAGGGCCAAAAAATTTACATGCATTTTCCAGATCATAGGGGTGCCATGCCCCTAACCCCCACAAAATGGAAGGGATAACTGTAATTAAAATTTTCAGGACTGTGTACTGTACCCAGTGCTTCCATGCTTCCATGTCTTATACTTGGAATACTCCTCCAAATTTAAATTCTAATTGTCCTTCAAAATCCATCCAAGTGCCATTTCTATCATGATGCCTCTCTCCTAAGCCCAACTAATCAGGAAAAAAAAATTTACCTTCCTTGAACCTTGTCTAATACTTTGTACTTTTCTTATGTTTTGTATGTTCCATATTTTAATTATATAATTATTAAATATTTACGTAGTACCACATTTCCCTTGCTAGACTCAGCTTCATAGAAGCAGGATCAACGTGGGTGTGTCCTAATACCCAGTTAGTTAGTAGACGCAGTTGTGGAATTAATAAATGTTCTACATTACAATTTAGAAATTTTCTTTAGATAGATTGAGAGAATATAAAATGTGGAAATATAGTGGAGAGACAGACAGTTAAATGATGCCTTTAAAGTTTGGGAACTCTTAGCTTTCACTAGGAAAATCAAATTTCTTATGGACAATCTAAAATTATAAAAGCAGCTATATGCCTTATAACCTCCTACAGTACAAAGAAGGATCTTGTCTTCTCATAAGTCAACTTTTCCCATAGATATTGTATTTGTAGAAGAGTGCACACCAGGTATATGTAGGAAACATTTCACAACTACTCTTCTTACTATACTATTTGAGTAAATGCCTTTGATAAGAGCTAATTGAATCCACTGCCTGATCGTTAATGGGAAGCACCCCAGTGGGGACTCAAGAGGCATGTTTTTAGGAGTTTGTACCTGCAGAATTATACTAAGACACAGTTATACTAAGAATTATATTAAGAAACAGTTGCTCTCTGGTGACCAAACCCATGAGTAAAAGTGAAAATTCTGGGCATAGTGTAGAAAGGGTGCTATACTTAGATTATTTCTCAGATGACAGAATATAACAACATTGGACCCTTACTCAAAGCCTTTCCAGTTTAGTAGAATCTTTTAAATATCATGCTCCACTTGCAGACCCTTCAAGAATCAAGCATTATCTCAATGTCAAAATTAACCAATAGTGTAGGAATTTAGGACAGTATGTATTAAAAAAAAATAAAACTCCATTGCACTCAAGTTATCCTTCAGTGCCTCAACATGATAGGGGATAGCCCTAGGTTCTTGAAAGTTATACTAGAGCAGCATAAATTGTCTCAGGTCTTACCTAAACAAACGTAACTTGATAATAGAAGATATGACCTGAAGATAAGCTATTATGTCTCTTGTCTGAATACAATGCTACCTGGGTTGGAAAAGGCTTATCATTAAGTTGGCCACTGGGAAAATTTTGGCCTAAGCCACTCTTGAAGACTGCCTACTGACTCGCAGAGAGAATGTAATGTCCTTAAGGAGGGAGCACTCACGTCGATGAAACCACATATCCTTGAGGTACTTAAGAATAACCTTCATTGCCACCTCTCCTCCTTGCTGAACTCTTATAGGGACATTTTTTACTTAAAATTATAGACACATAGAATGTCAGACTATGAAAGGATCTAAAGAATCATTCAGTCCAACCCCTTATTTTACAGATGATATGACGAACAATATTTGATAGGAAGATCTCAAGGAAAACCTCTGGCAACAAATGCAATATTTATTTTGATCCTCATTCCACACAATCACTCAGTTCTCTCTTGTAATTATACTATTCCCTTCCCAATAAACAACTCATCCCTAATTACTTTTATCCAATTTATGCTCTAGAATTTTGCATGAATGTTGCTTATTTTTAGTGGTTTCTCATTAAGGATGGAAAATTTTACATTCTGTGTGTATATTTTATTTGTTTTATTTTTTTTTGGCTAGGCAATGGGGTTAAGTGACTTGCCCAGGGTCACATGGCTAGTTGGCATCAAGTATCTGAGGTGGGATTTGAACTCAAGTCCTCCTGACTCCAGGGCCAGTGCTCTATCCACTGTATCTCACCTAGCTGCCCCTTGTGTATGTTTTATTAATGTGTCCTTGTCTCCATCTATCTTCAGAAGGCTTTTCTGTGGATTTTTCTTGGTCTTTTCATTCAAATGCAGTGTATATACTGGTACTGTGTGTTATGTCTGCAGCCTGAGATG